AAGAAATGTGGCCCTGCGCAGAAAAATAACCGTTGGCGTGTGTTATGTTTGGCCTACACAGAGGCCGCCTTGGTGGCATCTACCTGGAGCTTAAACAAAGTATTTTTTGTAGCCCAAAGTCACATATCCAAACAGAGCACATTTAACATGATGGCAATTAAAACGTCCCAGCAAATGTGAAACAAGCTTTTGAGTCAGAGCTAACTTTTTTTTTCCTTTTTAGAACAAAAAAAGGGTCAGTTTCATAAAAATGTTCACATTGTACATATGAAGAATGGCATAAAGAAATACCATTTACATTTCCTTTGAAATACAGTGCTAAAAATGTTTCTGACAAACGCTGCAATGAAATACATAAAACCAGACATGAGAAGATTTTTTTTTTTTAGAAAAAGTTCTTCTTGAGTTAAAAATCCCAAAACACCTGGCCTCAAAAAAAGGGAACATAGAGATTATTATATATATATATATATAGATATATATATATATATTTGTAGGGGAAAAGAGGAGTTAAGAAAGTTATAAAATAGAGACATAGTTCAGTTTTTTTTTAATATATCTAGACAGTTCTTTTCTTCCTCTGCACTGCTGAAATTATAACAGAATACAATATGAAAAAATAAAAGTAATAAAATAAATTACATTTAACTTACTAATCTGGGAACAGCCAACCAGCAAAATTATTATTAAAATTAATGTAATTACATTACTAAGAAAAGGCAGTTCAAATTGAAAAAAAAAAAATACAGTCCTCAAATAAAAAAAAAAAAAAAAAAAAAAAAAGCCAAACAGAAAAAATATATATATAACTGACATGCATCAATACTAGAAATTTCTCCATGGGGGACTCAAAAGAAGTCTTTATGTCAGGGATAAGCTTGACATAAAGCCGTAGATAGCTGAACAGTTCTAAGGGGTGACAGTATTTCACATCCAGCCTGTCCAGTGGAAGCTTGTCCAAACAAATACCAGCTTAAACTAATTTGCATAATTTAATTTGAAATCAGCAGGCAAAAACTGAAATGGCAACATATGTTATTGTTATGGGAGATTTTTTAAATCTGCAACTTTATTTCCCCTGTTTATGAAAAGTTTTGAATGAGGACGGAGTAGAAGTGTACCAAAAACATCAATAGCAAAAGTTTGCTCAGCAAACTTGTACTAGGACAGCACAGCATTAACTGAGTTCCAGTGAGGTGAAAAATGTCAATTGCATTTATGCGTTCTATACAGGAACTTCTGTTTCTCTGCAATTGTCACGTACAGAAAATTAAAAAAAAAAAAAAAAAAAAAAAATGGCTGTAATCCCAAAAAATACAAAAATTCTTCGGAAACTTGATGCAGTACAAGAAATCCGTAAAATAACTCCTGGCCTACATATACATACACGTATACAATGGGCCTACTTATTTCCTAATTAAATTTCCATTTAAGGTCTTGGCACGATCTGAGCACCTGAAACCTTTCCACTCTCCTAATGTACAGAGGAGTATAGCTTCCTTGCACCAAGCTTAGGATCTAAAACCATTAGAAAGAAAAATAGGGAACTATGGTAAACTTGGTGGCCAAATTAGATACAATAAAATTATGTCCTATATATATATATATATATTATATGTATAGAGAAAAAAAAAAACTAAAATTTTAAAAACTTTTTCTCCCCAAAACGTAATTTTCTTTATTTTCGCCTGTTCTCCAACTATCTCAAGTGCAAATATTCATTAAAGGCTTCTTAAAGTCTGGTGACAATTAGGATGTGGGATTTCATCCCGCGTTAAGCATGGTAAGAACCATGGCACGCTCACACGCACACAAAATACATAAAATATTTCTTTTTATCACTCTGTTTTTTTTTTTTTTTTTTTAAGTCTCTTGCCATCACCTGAGAACTGCAACTACAGTTTGAAATAAAATATTAAAAAACTTTTTTTTTTTTTTTTCTTTTTTACCAGCTGCTGGTCAATTGTCAGTTCTTTAAGAGATTGTCTAAGAAGTAATACTGTCCTAAACTTAAGACAGACCAGAAAGAAATAAAAAATAAAGTATGGGCTAATTGAGAACATCATTACAAATTTGGCACTTGCTAATAGAAATGCAACAGATGAGGAAATATGTCCATGGTACAGATGGAAAGATTCGGGTATCCACACACAACGACAGTCCCTTGGATCCACCCACAACGCCAAGAACAATGAAGGAAGGGGAGGAGGAGCCAGCCAGGAGCATCTTTTTTTTTTTTCAGGTGCGTTACCAAAAAAACCCCCAAAAAACAAAAAAACGTATTCCTCTTTAAACTTTAGCACAAAACGACAAAACACATTCACAAGCCACTTGTTGGCACTGTGTACCTGAGTGAGATTTTCTAGAACATTGTAGAACAAACAGCCAAGTTTTTGTTGTTTTTTTTTTTTGTCTTTTATATACGAAAAAAAAAAAAAAAAAAAAAGTTGAAGGGTAAGACGTCAGTGCTGAGCAGCTAGATTACTGGCATTAGTTTACCCATAGCTTATCCCGTTCTTTTGGTGGAAAATCTGTGGTATTTTGTGTTTTTCATTTTACTTTTCCAACCCCGTGCATTTTGGGTCAGAGAGTTTTTTTGTCAGTTAAAAGTCCCAGCATTTAGAACAGTTAAAAGTAACAGTCAGTGTATCCAAAAAGCTCATGCTCCACACCACTGATGAAGGCGAGTCGGGGTTGCGCCTTATTAAGTTCTCAAAGTTCAAGCCGTACTCCCCCCCCCCGCATCAGTTGGCTTGTTCTGCACTGTGATTTTCACTGTCACTGACATAATCCGCGTCTGGATCGTCGTCCTCATCGTACTCATCATATATTTCACCGTTCATGTCATCGTTTTGGATCTCCTCCTTGATGTGGGGGCTCCTCTCCTTTGATGCCGAAAGTGCTTTGGATGACCTGCATGCCGGGCTCTGGACTGCTTGAGACGCTTGAGTGCTCTGATGGCAAGTGAGGTGATGGCATTCCCGCCATTGCGATGGCTCCGGGGTACACCACACCCGTTGTAGTGATGGGGATTTGTGCTTGTTGTCTGGAACAAGGGAGATCGTGTTAAAATTTGACTGCATGCATTTTTCTTTTTTATGTTTTCTAAACAAATCTATTCCATATCATCAGTTCTTTTTCATGGATCTGGAGCCTTTTAAAGTTCAAGATCAAAAATAATAAATAATATAGAATATAATGCTTTATTATGCATGTGTCTATTTTGGCTGACCAATTGATCTCTCTTACCACTTTTGTGTTTTGTTTTTTTTTTTATAAAATTACAATAAAACATTTTCTATTTTATCTAGTGTTTTCATGTGCATCTTTATACATATGTTATGGTGCTTTAAAAGCCCCATTCGTTTTTTCTCTTGTTAGTGTTTTGATATCTTTTTGAAGTTTAATCTGCTTAACTTTTGCCTTCCCTAGTTCCCCCCCCTCCCCCCCTTCATCAATATTTCAATACATTTCAGTTTTCAGTTCATACCTTATTTTAGACTGAGTAAAATCATTACTGGGTCTCTGCGCCTCTTTATGCAATGCAAGAAGATCATTGCTGGTGAGAAGGGCCAGCAGGGTGCTGTAGATAGCTTTCTGAAAACATTACAGTGCCCTCCCTAAGTACTCCTCTCAACACCCCCCAGCCATGATTCAAGCAGTAGACTCTGGTTCTTTGGTGAAGTAATATAAATATCAATATTTCTTGATGAGTGGATGTCAATCTGAAGGTGTGGGTGTTCCTAGGCAAGCTATAATTGCATGCAGACTGCCCTGGATAACACCCATATGTGAAGCTGAAAATCATGATTGAAAGGATTTAAATCCAATGAATGAGAAGGGCGGAGCAGGGACAGTGAGTTTGACAAAGAAAGAGATAGGTGATGCTGGATGTCCTCCAGCCAGGAAATGAGGCAGGCACAATCAGACTTGCTACAGCTTCTGATGCACATTGTATGAAGCTCACAGTATGAAGCAAAATCACCAAAGTAAACACTTTCAGTACAGGAGAGGAGCCTGTGGAAGACTGAAGGCTGGTCAGATTTATCACTGCAAAACCCTGACAAAGGCAGAGACTTTTGTAACCCCTGAAACATGTTGGCATTTATGTTAATAAATGGAGCTTGAGTGTGAACTGCAACATTGTTGTAACATTCGTCTTCTTCATATACTCTACATTTGCTGACTAAGGGACCTATATTACTATTCCATAGTTTAGGAACAACAGCCTCACTAGGGCTCATCGTACTCTGACTTCAGTACAGGAACTAGTTCAAATTTTGCTTGGTGTCACAGTGGAACCAAAGACACATCTCTTTACACCAGTCTATGGAAGACTGACATACACACAACATCCTCCATATGCTCATTTCCCAGCAGCAAGAACAGCAAAGGGGATAACAATGTCATTATTATTACAGGTATTTATATAGTGCTACTGTACATTCACATCAGTCCTCGCCCTCCGTCAGTTTACAATCTAAAGTCCCTATCTCCCATGTAAACATACCAGGAATTAATCTACCGGCAAGTCTTTGGCAAGTGGGAGAAATCCAGAATACCCAGAAGAAACCCAAGCACCTACAGTGAGAGCATGCAATCTCTATGCAGGTATTGTCCTTGTCCCCAAGGCAAGAAGGCTAATCACTAAGCCACTGTGCTGCCAAAAAAATTTGGAGACTTGGTGTAGGTACTCTGCATTCTAGGGATGGCATGTAGATTTTGCATGGTGTGAGCATTTGGTTTATGCACTCCGCCCAGGGGCGGACTGACAACTCATGGGGCCCCCGGGCAATAGGGGATCATGGGGCCCCTGTGTTCTTGCCCAAGCTCAAAAAAGCCTATGAAAAAGGTACCAGGGGCATCTCATGGGGCCTCCTACTGACCCCGGGCCCTCGGGCAGTGCCCGAGTTTCCAAATGGTCAGTCCGCCCCTGACTCCGCCTGTTGCATAGTGATACAGAAAGAACCTAGTTTCTGCTCAGAGGTAAGCAGAACCACTTACCCTACGTTGAAATACTGTCTCATTTCTTGCCGGCGGCTGCGCATGATTGCCTTGTACTCGCCAATCCGTAGCTTCTTACCATCAACTAAGCAGGTGCGTTTTGGCCGCGGCTTGTATTTGTAGTCCGGGTATTTCTCCAGGTGTTGCTTGCTGAGTCGAGCTTGTTCTTCATAGTAAGGCTGCTTCTCCAGATTCGTCATGGCTTTCCAGCGAGACCCTGAGAAAATAATAACAAAAATGATGAAAGAGCAGACTATACAAAACACAATCAGATTGAAAGTGTATATCCAGGCAAACCTTTTTTTTTTTTAGCGTTGGATTGAGAAAGGACTGGAACTCGTATTTGTGCTTACTGCTATCAGGGACTTCGTTAAAGAGATTTCCACCCACTTCCTATCCCGGTGACAACGGTTTCACCAGACAAAAGTGAGGGGAAACCTGCAGCAAGGGCACAGACCAAAGTAAAAATATGAAAGGGGCTCTAGCCCTCCCTTACTCTACTAAAGAAAAGCATTTTTATTTCTATTCATATGTTGGTTCTGTAGTATATATGTTAACCGTCTTCTTTATCACCTACAGAATATAGTGATTGTACAACCACACAAAGTAATTTGAGTTGTAGAGTTTATGTTCACCTTCTAAATTTTACAAACCTATTTTAACAATCTAAGAAATGAGAACAGCTCATATTCAGTCATTTTTTTTTGATTGGTGTGATTTTTATTTTAATTTATATTCCGTAATTATTTTGTTATGTACAGTGAAGGAAATAAGTATTTGACCCCCTACTGATTTTGGATGTTTGCCACTCACAAAGAAATGATCAGTCTAATAATCGAATGGTAGGTGTATTGTAACACTGAGAGACAGAATAGCAACAAAAAATTCAAAAGAAATGCATGTCTAACAAATTATGCACTGATTTGCATGTTCATGACGGAAATAAGTATTTGACCCCCTTCACAAAACATGACTTAGTACTTGGTAGCAAATCCCTTGTTGGCAATCACAGAGGTCAGACGTTTCCTGTAGTTGGCCACCAGGTTTGCTCACATCTCAGGAGGGATTTTGGCCTACTCCTCTTGGCAGATCCTCTCCAAGTCTTTAAGGTTTGGTGACTGACGTTTGGCAACTGGAACTTTGAGCTCCCTCCACAAATTTTCAATCAGATTAAGGTCTGTAGACTGGCTAGTCCACTCCAGGACCTTAATGTGCTTCTTCTTGAGCCACTCCCTTGTTGCCTTGGCTTTGTGTTTTGGGTCATTGTGATGCTGGAACACCATCCATAACCCATTTTCAATGCCCTGGCTGAGGAAAAAAGGTTCTCACCCAAGATTTGACGGTACATTGCCCCGTCCATCATCCCTTTGATGCGGTGCAGTTGTCCTGTCCCCTTAGCAGAAAAACACCCGCAAAGCAGAATGTTTCCACCACCATGTTTGACAGTTGGGATGGTGTTCTTGGGGTCATAGGCAGCATTCCTCCTCCTCCAAACATAGCGAGTTGAGTTGATGCCAAAGAGCTCAATTTTGGTCTCATCTGACCACAACACTTTCAACCAGTCCTCCTCTGCATCATTCAGATGTTCAGTGGCAAACTTCAGACGGGCCTGGACATGTGCTTTCTTGAGCAGAGGGACCTTGCGGACACTGCAGGATTTCAATCCTTGTCGGCATAGTGTGTTACCAATTGTTTTCTTGGTGACTGGGGTCCCAGCTGCCTGGAGATCATTGACAAGATCCTCACATGTTGTTCTGGGATGATTTCTCACTGTTCTCATGATCACCGACACTCCACGAAGTGAGATCTTGCATGGTGCACCCAACCTAGGGAGACTGACAGTTGTTTTGTGTTTCTTCCATTTGTGAGTGATTGCACCAACTGTTGTCACCTTCTCACCAAGCTGCTTGGCGATAGTGTGGTAGCCCAGTCCAGCCTTGTGTAGGTCTACAATCTTGTCCCTTTGGAGGAGGAGGAATGCTGCTATGACCCCAAGAACACCATCCCAACTGTCAAACATGGTGGTGTAAACATTCTGCTTTGCAGGTGTTTTTCTGCTGAGGGGACAGGACAACTGCACCGCATCAAAGGGACGATGGACGTGGCAATGTACCGTCAAATCTTGGGTGAGAACCTTCTTCCCTCAGCCAGGGCATTGAAAATGGGTCGTGGATGGGTGTTCCAGCATGACAATGATCCAAAACACACGGCCAAGGCAACAAAGGAATGGCTCAAAAAGAAGCACGTTAAGGTCCTGGAGTGGACTAGCCAGTCTCCAGACCTTAATTCTATTGAAAATCTGTGGAGGGAGCTGAAAGTTCAAGTTGCCAAACGTCAGCCACCAAACCTTAATGACTTGGAGAGGATCTGCCAAGAGGAGTGGGCCAAAATCCCTCCTGAGATGTGTGTAAACCTGGTGGCCAACTACAGGAAACGTCTGACCTCTGTGATTGCCAACAAGGGATTTGCTACCAAGTACTAAGTCATGTTTTGTGAAGGGGGTCAAATACTTATTTCCCTCATGAACATGCAAATCAGTGCATAATTTGTTAAACATGCATTTCTTTTGAATTTTTTGTTGCTATTCTGTCTCAATTACAATACACCTACCATCCGATTTTTAGACTGATCATTTCTTTGTGAGTGGCAAACATTCAAAATCAGCAGGGGATCAAATACTTATTTCCTTCACTATATATATATATATTTTTTTTTTTTTTCCGCATAATTTTTTTTCCGCAAATGTTGGTATTAGTGTCCTGCAAAGTCCATACTTCTGTATGAGAGCTTGCTCTTTTTAAAAACAACAGACTTACTGGCCAGATCACCGGAAGAACATAAAAAAGAAAGCCTATAAAAGAAAAATGAATGCAGCAGTCACATCTAAAAGGTAAGCTGGGGCAGCACAGTGGCTAAATGGTTAGCATTTCCGCCTGGCAGTACTAGGGTTGCCGGTTCGAATTCCAGCCATGGCACCACCTGCCTGGAGTTTGCATGTTCTCCCTGTGCTTGCGTGGGTTTCCTCCAGGTACTCCAGTTTCCTCCCACACTTCAAAGACATGCTGGTATGTTAATTGGCTCCTGTCTAAATTGTCCCTAATTTGTGTATGTATGAATGCAAGTTAGGGACCATAGATTGTACACCACTTGAGGATTAGGGACTGATGTGAATGTACAATATATATGTAAAGTGCTGTGTAAATTGATGGCGCTATATAAGTACCTTAAATAAATAAAATAAGCTGCAAAAATGATAAATGTTTGCTTTTTAATTATGCTAAAGTTCCAGCAAATATGTTTGGGTGACTGGAGGTGGACTGGCACCAATATCAAGATTAATTTGCTGTCTATGTCCCCATTACAAAGATCTCCTCCCACTTCCTGTCCTGATGACACCCTGTACTTTAATAAACAAGTAAAAGAGGGAAGCAGGAGACAAAGAAAACTTTGCTGCAGAAGGTGACCACCAGATGAGGTATCAGATGAGCCAATATTATTTTGTTTGTTAATATTTTAAAATACACGTTTTATATTTGTACAGTTGCTGGACAACCAAATCTATTCATTGTTTAAATTGTAAAGATAGTGAGCGCTCCTTTACAAAATAGCTGCTAAAACACCAAAAAGGTACCAAGATAAAACCTTCAGATAAATCAGTAAAATAAGGGTGCAGCGCTAAATATATGATAAATATATGATAAACGGATAACCAATAGAAATGTATAAATTAGTCCGCTAGTATAGTTCAAATAATAAATCCAAGGGTAGTGAAACCAGCAGCAGATAGACTTGTGACACCAGCCAATAATTAAAGTGCGCACTCACCGGAAGCGCATAGGTAATGCGCATGTAATATAATAACCACCAAGGTAACTGTGGGTAGGCGGGATAGATAGGTAAACTTCCTTCTATGGTGTAGACATCAAGCCTTGGGAAATGATAGGAATCTGCTGGGTCCAGAGGTCCCCTTAAGGATGGATTAGGTGCTCAGCCTGAGTACAGGGCTCCTTTCCTCTGGTAGTAGCAAATCTCTGGGGGTGACCTGCACCCTTATTTTACAAATCTATTCATTGTGTGCAAGTAAATTATCAGCAATTTAGAGACTAATCTCTTCTAAACTTGGGGATCATCTAGCAATTTAAAACATAAAATAACTACACGTACATATTCAAAGCTCTTTGATAAAACCAGTCTGTGTTGTCCAAAAACAAGCAATCGAAGACATACATTTTTTATGGGCAAAGTACGTGAATGTGTTGCATGGATTGAGAAAGCTGTCTAATACAGAGCAGGCACTGTTGTGACACAGATACTGAGCATCTACAACAGTGACTGTGCGTGTTGCAATCAAATCATTTCACTACAAACCCAGACAGATGTGGTCTGCCGGGCCAGACCTGTCAGATAATGAGAGCTGACAATGTGTAAGTCAGACTTCAAACATACGCTCTGTCAAACCTGAGCACCGATTCCTCTTTTGTGCCTGACACCATAAAAGACACAAAGGGAATCTTCCAACTAATCACACAGAGAGAAAAAACCCCCCCACAAATCTGACCAACTAGACAGTCACATGTATGTTGATTGCAAAATCTAAAATACTGTGAAGAGGGACATTAGAGTGTAAGCTCCTCTGGTGCAGAGACTGATGTGACTGGCTCAGTGTTCTCTGTACAGCCCTGCAGAATATGTCAGAGATATATAAATGTATAATAATAATAGTGTGTGACTGTGGTGGGGACATTAGAGTGTAAGCTCCTCTGGTGCAGAGACTGATGTGACTGGCTCAGTGTTCTCTGTACAGCCCTGCAGAATATGTCAGAGCTATATAAATGTATAATTATAATAGTGTGTGACTGTGATGGGACATTACAAAGTAAGCTCGTCTGGTGCACGGACTGATGCGAATGACTCCGTATTAGCTGTACAACACTGCAGAATATGTCAGAGATATATTTAAATGTTTAATAATATAATATTTCCTCCTTTTAGCACTTGCTGTGTCTTTCTTGTTTCTTTTGCTCTCTGTTGTTTGGAAACAGAGCAGATCAAAGTCAAGTTTCCGGGGCAGAGAAGTCTGTCATATTTTTTTTAACGTGATCTGCAATGAATTTGCACGTCGTCTGTGAACTACTGTATGAATAATGGAAGAAAGATGTGTGCGCACGCTCCTGATCCCGGGCCAAACAGTCAGAGGCGATTCCTTCTGTTAACAATTTCAGGGGAACGACTGATTAAGACCAGACCTTGCCGTCGTATAAAACACTCGAAACCCTTTAAAATGTCAGCGTCGCTCTCAGGAGACATAGAAATGTCAGCTAAGCTCAAGTGTCTGTTTTAAAGAGAATGTGTCTATAAGGTATGAATGGAGACAAAGGACGCCCTCAACTCCACCAGGGTGACATATGGGCAGATGCCACCATCTTGTACACAGTTGGCATGCTTTGCAGTGATACAATGTAACAGATTCATGATACCATGAAGCAGATTTATGATACAAGGGAGCAGATTCATGATATGATGGAGCAGTTTGGTGTTGCACACTGACTTGAATGTTCAGTTTGTTCAGATTTAATACAATGTGGTTGATTTACTAAAACAGGAGAGTGCAAAATCTGGTGCAGCTGTGCATGGTAGCCAATCAGCTTCTAACTTCAACTTGTTCAGTTACGCTTTGCCAAAAAATACCTGGAAACTGATTGGCTTCTATGTAGATCTGCACTCTCCAATTTTAGTAAATCAACCCCATTGCAGCAGTTATTTACATCAAATTATCTCTTACATTTCTCCTTTATAGCTAATAAAATAAAAAATCTGACAGATTAATGCATGAAGCAGCATTTAAAGTAAAAAATTCAGTTTGGCCCAAACTTTTTTTTTTTGTTTTTCATTTCTATCTGAGGCTGCTTTGGAGAGACTTCCTATGCTGGAGACAATGGTTTCAGCAAACAGGAAGTGAAGAAAAATTTACATCAAGGACACAGGAATAAAAATCTGACAGGGGTTCTAGCCTTCCCCTACTTAACTGATGACCCATAATTTTTTCACTCCATGTCTGCTGAACCCATTGTCACTACGTCGGAGGGGAGGTGGGGGAATATCTAGAATGAGCCCTGGATAGCAGCAGAAGACCAACAAGGTTTCTAATCCTCCCCCACTCTATCCATACATTGTGACTGAATTTGCACTTTACGGACACACTCCAATTAAACAGTAATCATGTTTTTGTACTCAAAAGGCCTGGGCTGCCTCCTAACTGCCCAAGCATACACCCTGGCATTTACCATCTGCCCCACAAGCTACGCCCCTGTAGTTGCCAGCATTTTTTTTATGTCATAGAGATAAAATTTCCTGGATAGCACCAACACTTCACTGATTTCTTGTACCATTTCCTTCAGCAGCATTTTATACATTAACATATGCTATGTGCCAATACATCATAAAAGCTGGGAGTGGCCAACTCCTTACCATATATCAATATATTTAACTAAACTGAAAAAAAAACTAAATCTTGCTGTGTGTCCAGCTTTATACACCATATCAGCTTTTTAAATATATCAGATTGGTGACACAATGTCACACACAGTATTCGGCATCCTCAATGTGACCATACCTAGTATTTTGCTAATATTTGAATTGTGCATGTCAGGGAAAGCCTGGAGAATTTTCCTCCGCTCGTCCTTCGCCCACACCATGAAGGCATTCATCGGACGTTTGATATGTGGCTCACTGCTCCCACGGCCCCGGGACTCTCGATATATCCGGGACTCAGACACGCCAGCACTTCCTGAAAAAGGGCAATAAGAGGAGAGTTAGGAGGTGTTCTTGGCAAAAAGGTTGTTCATGTCAGGAATCTGTGGCTCTTCCACAGTAGTACATTATACATATACCGCATGCATACAATATACATATTACTAAGGATGAGAAAAGGAGTACAGGATTAGGGGTAGGGCAGTACGGCTGATACCGTCTGGGGTTTATTTAACCTCAGAGTGTTCAGGACGCATCCACTTGTGCCCAGCCCCCCCCATTAGTGACAGTTGCTCTGTATTACACAGCAGGGGCGGCTGTCAAAATGAAGCCACTTCTGTGCAAAGTGACATTTTCAGATAGTCACTATTTACTCAAGTGTCATTGAGTAAATAGATTGTAACAATGTAAAATGTATTTATTATTTCAGGTGTAATCTGCATATAGCTAAAGCCTAAAAAAAAAAAAAAAGAAAGAACATAAAAACCCTTATGGTTAGGCCTGAGACATAGGTGCTATTTGCATGTCGACTATATGTCTGGGCCCTCCCTTACCTGGTCTGAAATAGCAGTCCTTTCAGTGGACAAGCTTTATTCTGCATTACTTTGCTGCTGAAGTGTAATGTTGTATTTACTGATAAAGATGATCATAGCCCTACTATCCTTGCACAGCGAGTATATAGCTTTTTGACTTGGTTCTGGAAAATGGATTCTGGATTTTCTAATGGTACGGTTTTGTGATCCTTCTTTTGCATGTAGAATATTACACAATGTGCTGTATGCTTTGAAAAAGTTTAATAAAAATTGTAATTTATAAAACAAAAAAAAGGATTAAAAAAATTAGTTATTTAACTGCTAATTAACCCTAATCTGTCCTATTTAACTGCTTTTCCTCCTTTTTTCTGTCATTTATTTATATTTGTTTTATTATCTCTGTTTTTCTTTTTACCATTTATATTTTTTTTTCATATTCATTCATTTTGTTTGTTTTAGTGTCGCTTAAAAAGAAAATGTGCAAGACGGGAAAAAAAAAAAAAGTAATGTAATTTTGAAATTTGCAAATAACTGCTTTGTACCAGAAACATTGTTTTATTGTCATTTCAAATGGGGAAAATTATAGAATAAGATGTATACTATTTTAAAGTAAAACTTTTTTTTTTTTCTAACAATGATCAAAAAAATAAAATCTTTTTCACTCCTATAAATACCATAAAAAATTTTTTTACAAACAATACTGCTAAAAAATAAGCCTAGTTTGTCCCCCATAAACAATGTATATGTTACTTTGTTATCTGGAGCCTAAGTTCACACTATTGCAAGTCTCGTTCTGCGTTTAGGTAGTCTGTTCATTTCAGTTGGCTGCTCTACCCGCAAAAATGTGGAAAAAGAAGTCCCTGACCTTTTTCTGGAAATGCACCACATCGAGCACCAGTTTATTGTATACTAAAATGTGGCACATTTGCAGATGCATGGGTGTGCCGTTAATAATGATTGGTACCCCCACATGTCTGCAAAAGTGCACTGCTTTTTCTCTGCTAGTCGGGAATATGCACAAATTTCCAGCCCACATGTGTCAACGTAGGGACAAGATAAAACTTTTAAAAAAATGTTACATTTAAACCAAAGTGACCCTTGAGCTGGTGCCAGCTGTCATAATTTAAGCCTCCCCAAATACCCCAACCCGCCTATATACCCACAGCCATACTCTTCTGGTGCTGTAATGTCATTTTTTTTTTATTTCTGCTGCTAATTGTAGGTTTTTTTGTTTGTTGGTCCTTGTATGCGTGACTGTCCAATCTGTGTGGAGGTGACTGCTTCTGAATGATTGTGGATAAACTCATTTAGGCAGCATTATCAACAGACGAACGAGAAATCCAGTGTTCAGTGTGAATGATCGCCACCATTATCAGCATGTTAAAGCCAGTACTTACCATCAGAGTCTCCGCTCAAATTAAAATCCATCATGCTGTGGCTGAACTTTCCATCGTCGTTTTTGCTTGACCGCCATCTGCTGGGACAGACAATCTAGGGAAGGCTTGTCCTGCAGGGTGAGAATAAAATAAATACTGTAGGTATTATAAAATAAAGAATACAAAACAAAAAAACTGAATTGTAATCTTAGCCCACAGAAATGTCCATGTGCCCAGTATCAGGTAGGACTTCCAGCACCCAGCACAGTAATTGATCAGAAAACCTAACAACCGGAACAATTAGTAGTCAGCTTATGAGTCATAGCTTATGTTTGATGGGTTTTTTTATGCAAATTCCAACATTCCTGCATCCTATTTGTACTACAGATCATAAACTTCTATATGTACAGCACCATCCAGTGGTAATGAAGATACACATTACTAAGGAATCAAAGGGTACCGGGTGTCATCTATTTTAGTATTACTCAGACTGACTGCAGTGAGGTGCACAGAAGGAGGTGGGATGAAAGGTATAATAACTCTTTGAATTTCCCACATCTCAGGCACTCTTAAAAGTCCATGTGGACCCCAATCATATTAAATGCCAGGACTACAGTCTACAGCTTTAGGAAGTGAAGACTGTTTGACATGTCCTCCATATTCAGTTAAACAGACGCCAACATTGTTCACTATGGTGGAGAATGATGAATCATATTGTTACAATCTGTCTTTCTATCTCTTGAAGAAACTTCGAGGGCCTCCAGGTATAATGAAGGACACCCATCATTGAGTCATATGTCATCCAAGAAATTAATTGTGTCACGCTGATTTAGACACCGATCCGAAAGCCAATAAAATCTGTTTAATGTCTTGTAATTGGCAGGCAGATTCAGCATAAAGATCACTAATTAGTTATGGGTGGTTCAGGACGCCCACTATGAAATCACAAGCAAATATTTCTGATATTGTGGCAGCAGCTCAGCAGAGCCACCAGCTGTTACAGATCAGAAGGCGGAAATGTATGATGTGATGTGTCGCTACAGGGAGGGTTGGAGGTCTCGCATAACACATTGCAGGAAAACTGCACCAGTCAGCCCAGACATGAGAAAATAATGCTAGGAACAGGAAATCATCCAAAACATTGATATCTAGGAGAGTAACCACAAGATGATATTTCCTGGAATAGTTTGTGTCCCTGCCCCTGAGAATTCCCCCCCCCAAGGTGAGAATTGCCAGCATTAGATTGTCTCTGCCCCTCCCCCAATGGTGGGATTTCTCTGCAGTGATTTGTGTCTCTGCACCTCCCACAATGGTGAGATTTCCCTGCAGTAGTTTGTGTCTCTGCCCCTCCCCCACAATGGTGAGATTTTGCCCCTGCAGTAGTTTGTGTCTCTGCCCCTCCCACAATGGTGAGATTTCCTGCAGTAGTTTTGTGTCTCTGCCCCTCCCAAAATGGTGAGATTTCCTGCAGTAGTTTGTGTCTCTGCCCCTCCCACAATGGTGAGATTTCCTGCAGTAGATTGTGTCTCTGCCCCTCCCACAATGGTGAGATTTCCTGCAGTAGTTTGTGTCTCTGCCCCTCCCACAATGGTGAGATTTCCTGCAGTAGTTATGGTGAGATTTCCCGCAGTAGTTATGGTCTCTGCCCCTCCCACAATGGTGAGATTTCCTGCAGTAGTTTGTGTCTCTGCCCCTCCCACAATGGTGAGATTTCCTGCAGTAGTTTTGTGTCTCTGCACCTCCCACAATGGTGAGATTTCCTGCAGTAGATTGTGTGGTGTGCTTTGCCCCTCCCACAATCCTGCAGAGATTTCCTGCAGTAGATTTTGTTTCTCTGCCCCTCCCACAATGGTGAGATTTCCTGCAGTAGTTTGTGTCTCTGCCCCTCCCACAATGGTGAGATTTCCTGCAGTAGTTTGTGTCTCTGCCCCTCCCACAATGGTGAGATTTCCTGCCTGCAGTATTTTGTGTCTCTGCCCTCCCACAAATGTGAGATTTCCTGCAGTAGTTTGTTCCTGCAGTAGTTTTCTCTCTCTGCCCCTCCCACAATGGTGAGATTTCCTGCAGTAGTATGGTGAGATTTTGTGTCTCTCTCTGCCCCTCCCACAATGGTGAGATTTCCTGCAGTAGTTTGTGTCTTCGCCCCTCCAACAGTGGTGGAATGTTCGCCCTAGTATGTTTCCTGATTTCCCTGCTTGTCTTCGCCCCTCCAACAGTGATGTCTCTGCCCCTCCCACATGTAACATGCCATATTTGGAACATTGTAATGCAAAAAGACTGTATAGTTGTATATTTTGCTATCAATCACTGAAAATCCGTGGGCAGTTCTGAACTGTGCAGCGCACTACAATCAGCTGCAGGAAAGAGTCCTAAAAGCAAAACAAAAAAAGTGAGAATAGAAGACTTCTATGCTACAGGAAATATTTGGGGCTGTAGTTTCCACAAACTGTAATGCCCAAACGTTTGCACATTTTATGTTTCTATTTACTTTTCTGTTAATATAGTAATCGTTATCAAATACTGACTTGTGTTTGTCAGATCCTTCAGAAATATGTTCACTAGTATTCACTTATAAATCAACAGACTCCTTCATATAAGGTGCTCAAACATCTTCATGCTGACGCTAAGCAGGTAACATTGTTCTGGGTAGAACAAACCTTTACGAAGGCACTCCACCATTCTATGTGCAGAACTTTGCTGAACTGCCTCTCTGATGCGTTTAGAACTCTCTTCAAAGAGCGGCAGATATGGCCGCCAAGACTTGTACCTTCTGCGCTCCTCTCCTCCAAGACAAAAGTCATCGGAGGAGTGAAATGAAACATATTGTACGCTCTCGCTCTCCGCTTCCCTCTTCCCCGATGGCGCTTTTATAACTTTCTATTATTCCAGTAAAAGCTGTGCAGACGACAGACCACCAGAGAGGATGAAAAGACCTTTTGAGGTTTTAATGATTAATTAGTTATCTTTTTATTACTCCAGAATGAAGACACAACGGAGTGTGTTAACCCCCCTCCCCTCCCCAGTATCTGGAATCTTCCACAGATAAAG